TGATATCCATCAAGAATACGTTTTCTTGCGGCTTACAAGTCGTACAGCTACTTAAATTGTATGCATAAGATTTGTCGTCCTTTCAAAATACCTTAGATACCGAGATACATTAAGTACCGAAGTTAGGGAATACTAATAAACAATAGCTTCGTATCGATTAGCGATTATTATTTGTAATTCATTGGCTATTTTATGTAACATGTCAATATAAGTGTAGGAGAGAATGTACGGACTTAATTGATACTTTTTAACGATAACCTTCGACGGAGATCCTTAAAGACTCGTATCCTCTAAGAGACTGCTCCGTTGCTTTTCTTTCTCAGTCAAGTATTTTAAATACTCTTCCTTTTCTTCTTTATTACACGAGATCATCTGTAGAAAAATTACTATTTTCCAGTGTTCTCTAAACAATTAACGTATGTGTGGTAATATGTATGTGTGCGTGCGTGTGTGTATTACATGGCAGGGGCACAAAACTCAGTTCTATTTCATCGTATCAAGTTCGACGATCATCGGATCTTAACACACATTTTATTGAACGAAGAGTAACACATTACTGACTCCGGAACGGTATGCACTGTACAGGAAAAGAAAAGGATTGAGGATTCTGTTCTCTCTGAACTCTTGACTGCATTCGTAGAGCAAAATAAATGAATTTTGCAATTAGAATCCGAGCGTTCAACTTTTATTTCATTGTTCCTAACGAAGGCTTCGAATTTGCGCGAGCAAACTTATTTTAGAAGAGAAAGGATAACCGTGATATCGAATCGAAATCAGAGCGTACTCATCCTTATATTCTTCATACTGTAAATTTTGTTTAGGTGTATATATTCTCGTGGTAATATTATTACATTAAATATAATGGGATAAAGAAAGAAAAAAAAAAAGATTAGCGTCCGCAACATAGAATTAAAGGAACGGCATAAAAAGATAAAAGAATTGCGATTAAAGTATATCGATGTACATGATTGAAAACTAATCCGCTCTCGGTATTGTTTCCTCGAATTGGTTCGTGCTACTCTTGTCCTCAGCTAGTCGATAATGTTAGGTGCAGCAGCATTTTCACCCGATCGATCCTGAGTGCTAGTCATTCTACTATGCGCACCGGAGCATCAATTTTCAACCAACTAATTCAGTAGATCGAGATGTAAAAAGTCTCCGTCATTTTAACGATAATTTCCGTTGAAGCAATAATATTGTCTGGATACGATTCTTTTTTTTTCCTCGACATAATGTTAAGAACAAGATGTATCGAATATTTGGTACTTGAAATACATATTGTTCGAACGTATGAGATATTGCTTTTTCTACGACACTTTTCTCTTGTATAAAATGCTGAAATACCATTTTTTACTGGGAAATGCAAATCATCTTGTAAGATGTTTTATGTTTCATGTAAGAATATACAGAAGGTTTCAGTGTCCATGCAATGGTTCAATATTTAATATTGAAGGTACACTGATTTAAAATTACGAATTGAAGGACATTAAAGATTAAAGAAATTTAAAAATCCAAATAATCTGTGTCAATAAGAGACTTCCTTTCTAAATAAATAATTTATAAAGATTTTTCAATACGCTCTAATATATCATGCTATACTTTTTCTACTTGTATTAAAAAGAAGAAATATAAATTCTATTAAAAAGAATACTAGTAACTTTGAAATGTTCTTGCTACCTTTACATGCATATATGTACATGTTTTTTGTGATATTTTAATTGACTTCTTCGTGTAATTTAAACTTTATGCGTTTGATTATACGTATTATCTTATAATATTTTTCTTAATACATTTTTTCAAATATATACTCATTTACCGATTAAATTGTGTCATATTTATTTCTCTATTATTTAATTTCTATATAAATTTCTTTTACGACAAATAAATTTTATTCCTTTATTTATCTATCTCTTTTTCCACATATATCAACGCTTTAAGAGTGCATGTTTAGAAAATAATAAACGAGTCAAAACGTCCTCTACTAGAGGTTTGTTTATATAAAATTAAAGGCTGCAAGCGTTTAAACTTTCTCTTACAAAACGTATGCTATGCGAAGGGAATAAAAAACTGTTTTATAGTCGCTTCTGTTTGAAAGCCTTTACTACACGCGAAGTAAGTGTAAGGTCTTTCACCGGTACAAAAAAGTTCGCGTACCTAGCCTCAACTAAGTGTTCGTTTTAAAACCTTTTTCTCGTACGCTACAAGTAATACATAAGCTTCCTTTTCAATGCTATGCTTTGCTACATGTTATCTCGGCATTATCTAAAATTTAATGATTTCTCTTCGCGAATATTGCACCTAATTGCGCCCTCTTATTCTTTGTACACCTTTTTGCGGTAAAACGTGCCCTTCTATGTTGATTTATATTTCCATGCTGCTATGCAGTGTATGCAGTTTCTGTCCCAGGCACCAGTTATCACGAATGTAAAATCTAATCCTAAGATGAAACCACGACCGTTTAATACTTGAGAATGGTTTTAACGATAACTTTTCTTAATTTCTCCTTTAGTTTTTCAAAGTACAAGTGTATACAAATATTTTTTCCTTTTCTTTGTGTTTTAGTTACATTGGGAACAGAGATAATTTACTTATTTCATCTGTGTCAGGAATACTGAGACGTGATTCTAAGTGTTGACAAATATCATAATACTCATAATATGGTGAAGTGAATTTTTAGACGGTTTTTTAAAATAAAGGTTTTTTTGTACATGCTTCGTCGATAGAAGCATAGAGATTTTGATTAAAATTTACGCGTTTCTGTGTTAGATAGTCTATACCAAAGATGAATTGTTATACATATATTGTACGACGAATGTCTTTTTAAATAAAATAATGAAAATTCGTTTTCAGTGTTTTTACATATCCCCTGATATATTTCCTCATCTGAACCTTAATAAAATTCTGCAATATTTTTTATCTCTAAAGGTATAGCGTCTAAATATTTTATTTTCATTTTACAGTGATGTGTACAATATAAAAAGATTGGTTAAAGTGATTTCTAAATTTTATTATTATTAAAAATAAGTAATATAAAAAATATTTTTTTAATTTGATTAATAATAACATAATTTGATTAATAATTGATAAATAATTTATATCCTTTTTTCTGTTTATTATCTTTTTCATATTTCTTAATTCTATTTATGGATTTAATTTTAATAAATATGTATAGAGTAAAAAGATACGTATAAATTTAAATTATCGACTCTTTCTATAACCGTTATACTTTTTTATGGTATCAACAGATGGCACTGCTGACACTGTTTTAGTACCTGCATAAATTTTACAAATCTATATCAGTATACAATTTTTAAAAAATTAATAAGTTGAAATTATATGCTTGGTTTACAACATTTTATACTAAGTTCTTATGTGCAGTATTTTAAAATTAATCAACAATAATTGCAATTGATTACCCATGAAATAAGTATATTTCTAAATTATTTTAATATTTGGTTTAGTGTAGATTGTTTAAACATTATGACCTGTATAAAAGTGAATATGTTGAAGTTTGGAAAAGATTAATTTCATTGATTAATTAATATTTATTAAATTGCTGAACGGTATAACAGCGAAGAAAAGGAAAATGTTCGTTCATTTTCAGAAAATAAGTTGTAAGTAGTAACATAACGATTTAATACAATTTTGTTCCTTTATTAATATAGTTACCTATATATGTATGTGTTAATGTATTAATCGATATTGTATCTAATTATTTTCGTACTTTTCCAACATAATATGTAATGTGAGAAAGAATTCTGTTGCAAATAATTATACACTATTAGTACTGACAGCGGTTAGTAACTCAAGATAGAATATTTTGATTTTTATACGTCAAATTTCAATTTTTCCCTTTGCATAAAAACTTTCAGTGGGAAAGATAGATGTATATGCGCATGCGCTGCCTAGCGACTGCAATTCGAACTAAGCTTATAACTGGAGTTTAAACTCTTATGTAAAATAATATTTACTTTCATTTTTGCACGTAATGTGCGTTTAATTTTTATTATTCCCATTTTTTTGTGTAACACACAAAGATATTTAGATAAATATTTCAGATTTCAATATTTATGTAAGCTTCTTTTAGAACATCAGAAATTCCTATTCGTAGGCTATGCCAAACCTACTTTCTCAATGCTCCCTTGTGTTTTATATATACATATGTATATGCTCACTAAGAATACTTCTTTAATTACATTATTATAGAAATTATTGATCTTAATTGACGAAACAAAAAAACTAAACGTGCATTATTATTATTATTAAAAATAAATTTTTATGTATAATTTAAATACAACATAAATTAGCAATGTTTTTTAGCAATCTTAATAGTTTATCGTTATTTTCTTTAGCTAATAATAGTATATATTGTTACAATAAGTTTTACATTATATGTATATACATATAATTGCTAATTTCGTATATTTATAGATTTTAATTTTATGTTGAGTTTAATCAATCTACGAACCATGAAATTTTTATTAATTTATATTATAATATACTTTTTAACAATTTATTATGTCTTTGCATTTATGTACTCATTAATATTAAAATTAACATTATATTTATCAGTTTTCCCGATGATTATATTTATTCTATATTTAAAATTATTTCAACTTCGTTTATATAATAAATATTGCAATTCGTGTTATACTATATGTTTTTATTTATATTTGTAGTTTGGAAAAGATATAATAATGTTAAATATGGAGTTATTAATCACATAAGAAAACATTCAAATAATAAAATATAGAAAACTTTTCTAAATCTCCCTTTCTAAAGCTCTCTAAAAGTTTATATAATAATGCCTAATTTTCATGATATACAAGTATTTTAAACATATGAAGGCTTTATTGAAAGTTTTGAATTCAATATTGAATTTATAATATTGAGGTTACTGCAAATTTGAATATTTTACTAACCTCTAATTAATAATTTGAAAAATGAAATAATATCTCATTTCATAAACACGGTATTACTATAATACCAAAAAGACAGATACTAAATTTTTAATTTCGACAATTAAGTTCAATAATTTCAATAATAATACAAAACTTTTGGAAATATCATGTGTACATGAGGTGCGCATTAATAATTTTACTTTACTATCATAATTTATTGCTAATAACTTCACACGTTTAATTTTCGAATGAAACACTTGTATCGTTTTCTGTTTGAGTATGCACGTATCTGTCTTTTAGTAATTGACCGTTTTAGTTCGCAGTGGCAATAAACAATTTTGTAGAGAGAACTAATTTGTAAGTCCATTTATTACTGCTAGTCGATAAATATGCAATGAAGTTCGAAAGACGGGATTTTTACTGGAAATTTTAAATTCTAACTCTAACATCAAGCTAGCATTGAATCTCTCTCGTAATTTGTGAACGGTAAAAATATAAAACACAGTTAAAATTATTTTACGTTATTAATCGTGTCTGTTAAAGCTATAACATTTAATAAACTTCTAGTTTAGACATTTGAATAGAATAGAAAATATGTAGGTGTTTTGATACTTTTTTCTCTCAATCGTTGTCGCATAACCTCTTTCGTTCTTTTGCATGAAAAATAATTTGTCATGTATGAAAAATACTTATATGTATTTGTGCTCGAACGCGTCATATGTCATAGAAAATCAGGATTTGTCTCAACGATCACATCAGGAATATTCTGAACATTGTAAATTATAACGAACAATTCTGGCAACAATATCGCAAGGCTTGAATCAGCGTGCACAACGTCTCGTAAGAGCAGGAGAGCGGAACTCGAACTGTCTTCTCCTTCTATTTGTCGGACTGTGCTCTTATTTGCTGGCTCTTGCGTCCCTCTGCGACTCTCTTTCTCTGTCTCTTTCCTCCCTGTCGATATCTATATACCTGCTATTCCATCTTTGTCTAGCTTACCTTATATACGTATACACCGCATCTTCCTTTCTCTCTCGCTCAATAGGGTGAGATCGGGCCACGGACGTATTCGACAGGATTGGACCAGCCTCTGACGTCATTGCGTGGACCGACGTATCTCGTTGACGATTGTCGAAAGCATGCTGTTCTCGCGCCTCTATATATCCACCTACAGCAATCAGCGGCAAATTCAAACACATGATAAAGTTAGATTTCTCTTGTATTGCATTAATCGAACGTTACTTTTTCTCGTGCCTGGCAACGATGAGTGAATTAGGTACGATCATTTGAAAAAATTAGTCTTTCGTCTCTAACAGTGAATTATCGATTCGGATGGTTTTTTGAAATTCCAACGAAATCTAAATTTCCCAGATAGAACTCTGGACAGGCTGATATAAAACTGTGAAGCAAAAAAAGAAAAGGGACGAATTATTAATTTCTCTCCTGAAGTCCTGGTGTTTTAAATATGGATTTTTACGGGTCGTGTATTCTTTATATATATATATGTATATATATAACATATATATAAAGAATACACTCTCGTTTCACTTGTATATGTATATACAATTCCCCCATTCCTCACGTACCATCTACGTTATTGCTTGTATTCTTTGTGCTACATAGAAGTCATAATATGCTTTATAAAACCGTGAACTCAACTTCTCTTGGTGTTTATTAATATAACGTTTATTATACGGTTCTAAAATTTCGTTGGTATTACTAATTATAAGAGAAATTTTATTTTAAGTAACGAATGTCGTTTCTTTTAAATGAAGAGGAAAATTACTCCCATTTCAACGATATAAAACATACATAGCAAAATATTAGTACGTACTCTACATAACCTTAGTCTGAACAGTGGCATAGATATTTTGTTTCAAAAAGTTATACGTATTCGTTCGAAAAGGTTGTCCATTTTCGAACAATTAAACTTATTATAAACTAATATAAAATTTTTGACAAATTGAACCAATTAAGTGAAGAGGAATAATTTTCAACATTTTTCTATGGTTTTTAACAGAGACTGCTGTGCTCCTAAGTACTGCGTGACATCATACTCGTGCGGACATAAGGTACCCGAAAGAGAACAATAATCGACCTCGCTCAAGATGAATGACATCGAAGTCTGCGTAAGCGGCTACGTGCTCCGATGTTGAGGAACATCAGCAAGGGCGCTAGCCGCAGAAAACAGTAGAGGTTAGGTATGGCCAGGACGGTACGTTCCAGGCAGTGGAGAGAAGAGTACCCGGAGAGAGCACCCGGGCCGGGTAGGTAGGTAGGTATACATAGGTAGGTAGAGCGCAGAGGCAGACGAGAAGAGACGACCGCTTGAAATCCCTTTCTCCTTCCCGCCTTTCCTGCCTGCTTCTCTCTACCGCCCGTCCGCCATGCCACTACGAGCGAGCGAACGTACAGCTAGGCCGGCACAGTCCTGTAGCCCATTTGGCATTTCCCCAGCTATAGCGGCGGTCCTGTAGCCCATCGTTGTTATCGTCCCGCAGCTGCATAAAGTCGGCTCTACCTCCCCTTACCCCTCTGACCCTCTCCCATGCTGTCGACCAACCGCCCGTCCACTCCCCTCCTCATTCTGTTTCGCTCACCTCGCTGCTCGACATCAACGTTTCTTCCTCCATCTCTCTCTCTCTCCCCTTCTCTCTCTATTCTTCCTTCTCTCACCCGCCTGCCGACCTGATCGTGTTGCCCTCCTTCCTCCCCCCAGTCGTACCGACGCTTCGACCAATCCCCTTCC